GGGTGGCTCTTCCCTGGGCTTTTAGTCCCACCTTCAGGTCCCGAGGTGATGCTCTGCCGCACCCCTCCGCTCCTCTCGGCTGTATGGCGAAACAGCGGAGTTTCCCCAGTCGGTGACATCCCTACTGCACTTGTAGGCTGATTGAAGGGTCCCCTGACAGCTCAGCCTGCTTTCGGAGCAAAGGAAGCGTAACCAGCTGCCAGCATTGTAAAAACTGTGGGATGCTGTGGAACTTCGTAAAATGCAATAGCTGTTAATTACATTGATGTCAAAAACCGTAGTACCAAAGAACATTTTAAATTTTGTCACCAGGTCCAAAGCAAAAACAAAGCCTGCTTTTAAATACTGCAGCTCTGCAGATACAGTTAAGTTCTGCAAAATGACCTAGCTGCCACAAATACCAAACAGGTATAAGCAAAAAGCAAGATGTGAAAAATGGTGTTGCTTGTGCCTATGTATTTTCTTTCTTGTTTATTTTCACAATAATCTGCCTTGAGTTTTGAGCTAGCAGCTATTGCGTAAATATCAAGCTGGCAGCTTTCCTTGGTTAACCAATAGGAATAGGGGCAAATAGTCAAAGATTTGGCTGTCTGGATAATATTTCCACCAGGAATGTAAATACCTGTGATCTGTGCTATTTTAATCTTCCTCCAGACCCAAGTACTCCTTCTCCCTTCTCAGTGTCCGTTTTGGCTGGGAAAGGGTGATGCCTACATATCCTTTTATCTCAGCTGTTCAAATTGTAGACAATAGGAGTTCATGAGTCACAAGGAGGTAAGACAGTTTTCATTGCACTTGCCTGAAGGGCAGAAAGCTGGAAAAAGGTCCAGAAAATATCAGTAATCAGTTTACTTCCCTACCCACAGAGCCATGTGATGGGATAGTTTTAGAGTCCTCACTGCTGAACATGACCAAGTCTTTTTTTACCTCACCTTCACTTCTTATCTTCCCTTGCAAGACACACAAGATCTTTCCTCTTTCCCCAGGCAGCTCCTGAGGAGTTGCATATATGAGAGCTGTCTTAGGCAGTGCAAGGCGAGAGGACAGATCCTCAAACTCTATGCAGCAGTAGCAGAGAAGGTACACTTCAGTTCATATTCCTAGCAGATGGCTTTATTAAAGGCAGGATGTTAGACATTTGGTATGGCTGGATGGTGTAAGTGCAGTCCATGCAGAGACTGCAGCTAAGGTACCAGCAACAATATAGCAGCGTGTGGTCTAAGCTAATATACCTTGCTTTTCAACACAACTAAGTAGCTCAGAAGGAGTGCTGTGCTAATTCCATGAATGGGCTGCTTCTAGTTCTGGGGCTAGGTCAGGCAGAGCTAACACAGCTTATTCTTCATGGCACCGCATTGCCCCACAGAGGCACTGTCAGCGCAGATGTCTCCCTGAACCACAGGGAGAGAGTGCAGTCCTCTGTTCCTGTTGGCTAGGAAGTGCCTGGCCTGAAATGGCCAGGACACAAAAAGCTAAGAGCGCTTGACCTACATACCCCTCATTCTGCTGTTTGCATAATTTGTCTTATTTAGGTTTTGCTACCGTTACCCACCATGGTGTTATTTAAGGGCCTTCCATGGCCTTAGTGGCTTTTGTCTCATTTCTGGCAACTGAACCTTCTTAGAGTCAAAATTGTACTTAACAGTTTTGCATCCAAAGGAGTAAGACCCACTTGCTCAGTGTGTTGGAAATCTAGCTTTCTACTGTGTTTCTTAGCAATGGTAACATCCTTGATGCCTTTCCCTACTCTTAGAGGATTTTGCCACCCCTCCAGTCATGACTTTGGTGGTTTGGTTTGAGCCACTAGCTCTTCACCCAAGATCTCAGTTCTCCACCTCTTAGTCACAGCTGCGGTCCCATCAGTTGCGAACACTGTCACACCCATACCTGCGCATACACAGTACTGTCACTGGCATTTCTCTCCCCGTAGTTTCAGGACTGTATTGAAGTGAGACAGAAAGGAGGAGAAAAGCCATCACATGCTTAAAGTTCCATCAGAAGGAAACAACCAGAAAACCAACAGTCTAGAGTGTCCTTTCTCATTTATTTTAGGTTGGTATATAAGAATTGTCTTTTCTTTCTGTCTGTCAGAGGCTGGACAGAAGTCCAGAAACATGACCAGGGTCACAAGGGTCTGGTTCAGTGCTGGCAGCTTTGTCCTTGTGCTGTGGCTTGCTCTGAAACCTTTGTTGTGAATTATACGCAATGGTAGGAAACACTACATATTGCTGAAAGACCTTCTCAATCATGTTGCCAAAATGAACGCTTTGATCCACGACTAGGCAAGGTAAAGGAATCTGATCACACATTTCCAGATCAGAAATGAACAGCAGCTTCCAGTGATGAGCAACATGACTACCTGTGCAATGCGTCAAACTGATTACTCCACTTACCTACCCCTGCTTGATTACTTTGGCTTGTCCAGAAATCTCTATGCCCTGGCCAAAAGGTGTATTGTTCTTAGGCTGCTATTCTGCCCCATATTGTATTGGAGGCTTAACTGAGAACTTTAAATGTTCCTAGGAAGAAAGTAACAAAAAGAGTTCTTATTAAAAAAATAGAGGAATGGATAATCAAGCTCAAAATGGATTTTTTATTCAGAGCATGAATTCAGTTTGCAAATCTCTTTGCTGTCATCAGAGTAAAATTTCCCATATTCCAGCATGATGTAAAAACGGAGCTGTAAGCTTGGTTTGGATTTTCAGCTGGAAAAGGCTTTTTATTTTTACTAGTAGAACATGTAAATTCCAACAGTCAGACTAAATGCAAGAGGCCATTACACATGTTTATAGGCAACAGTAAGTCAGAGACAGAGTTATACCACCAAAATAGGGGAAGGATATTTTAAAAAAACAGCATATGAAATTCAAACAGCAAAAAAAGTGTCAAGAAAAAAGCTCACAAACAGGAAATAGATACTTGCTTAGATTAAAAATTTCAGGTATATTTCTTGCAGAACTTAACTGGTATTTAATGTTTACTGGTATTTCACTTCTGGAATAAATTCTGATTCTCATTACACAAATTAGAGGACGAGCTGAGAATTTATTTCAAAAGGGAATGATTCCTGAAGAAGTTATGTTTATAAAACCAGTTCTCTTTCAGCATTCTTTCTACCTGTAAAGAAATTTAAGAATACAGAAGTAAACTGCAAGGCAAAGCGGACTGTGTGATTCGAATAAAAAGGTTGTTTCCTAAGTTTTATCATGGAAAGCAAAAATTAACTTCCTGAAAAAAAAAAAAAATCACATGAAAAGAATATTGTAAGACTATACAAAGGCAAGGGATGATTGTTTTTCTCCTACTTAGGCAGAAATGGATAATGAGAAAAATATATAGACTTTGTAATAAATCAGGATAGCAAATTCTAGGTACAAAAGAGACACCAACAAAGATTAGAGCAGATTCTTCACGGTTTACGTGATGGTAGTTTCTCAACAATGCCTGAGAATTTGGCCTTCTGCTCTTGTGCTGACTGTAACTAGATAAACAAAATCATATTGGGATCAGAGCAGAAGATTTGTGTTACAGTTCTGTGAGTGTGATTGAAGAGCAAAGAATAAGCTGTGATTTCTATGAGATGAATTATATGGTACTGATCAAATGTTTTCAAATGGAAATCAGAATGTGGGGCCAAAAGTCACTCTAACAATGAGGAGCTAATTTCAGAGAAGTAATTTAGCAGAAAAGTCTACGAAGAACTAGGCTGGAATTTGCAAACCTAAGAGTCCCAAATGAGATCCCTAGATATTCAATATTTTTCCAATCAGGGGTCTGATTTTTAGAATTGTTTCCTAATGCATGACTCCCACTAACTCCTGTGAGTCAAGACACTTGTAGTAAGATACCAGTATCTTGGGTTAAGGACCTCAGCTGTGTTAACTCCTTCTGAATGCTGTCACTCACATGAAAGATAGAATTTCTGTTGCTGTTGCACACAGAAATTTCTGTGTGCAGGAACTGTGTATGTTTTCATGACAAATACCAGAGTAATTAAAACTGCCTCTAGAAATGCTAATTATTTTCATATTAATTTTTTTTATTATTCCATATCATTCTTAAGGCTGTTCAATTTTAAAACCTTTTTCTCTGTTGAAGTTACTGTCTTACCAGGTCTGTTTCCATTTTACTGCAAAATGCCATCAGTTTGCTTTGAACCCTGGTGATTCTCCAGGCTTCTCTTTTTTGAAAGGTGGATCAAATACTGCTGTCACTGTCTCCACCTACCTGGGAAGTAATTGGCCTCCAAGGCCAATGTGACTTAAGTGGGATTATTCTAGCTTTTTACTCTGCAAAAATATCAAGGGCCTATTTAAAGAACGGAGAACTACAGAAGACACCAATACAGCTGATCAACCCCTGAAAGCAGTCATCAGCCCAGAGACTTTAGCTTGAATTACTAAGGACTTAAAGGGATTTTGCCCTGAAGTAAAAGCACGGTGCAGGAGAACTGTTCCCACCCTACTTAGCAGGCATGATTTTGCTCAGTTTAATTTCAAAGGATGAATTAATGGAAGCTATTTGATGGCTTCAGGTAATTTTTTTTGCTTTTTGAAAAGGTTTTTCTTTTTCTCTATCCCCACAGGCAGAAGAAGAGAGAGATGATATGGAGAGAGTCAAGCTGGATAATAAAAGAATTCTCTTCAACCTGTTGCCAGCACATGTTGCACAGCACTTTCTTATGTCTAATCCAAGAAATATGGTAAACCAAGATAAAATTTAAATACATGGTGATGTTGTATGGGTGTGACCCTGTGTAGCTTGGATCACCTTTCAACTGTATGCTTTCAAGAAAGGCTTGGACTTAGAAAATTTCATTTGTGTTGAAGGGAATAGTTTTGTAAAAACTCGTGTACAAGAATTAGATTGGGATTATTTCTTTCTCTGTAGTGTCCTCCTTCTCTGAAGAATTTTAATAAAAAGCAGGATAAGGGAATTTTCCGCCAGTGTTCTGGCTGTGTCCCCTCCCAACTTCTTGTGCCCCTCCAGCTTTCTCGCTGGCTGGGCATGAGAAGCTGAAAAATCCTTGACTTAGTCTAAGCACTACTTAGCAACAACTGAAAACATCAGTGTGTTATCAACATTCTTCTCATACTAAGTCCAAAATACAACATTATACCAGCTACTAGGAAGAAAACTAACTCTATCCCAGCTGAAACCAGGACAAAGGTCAATGCAGCCAAGTGTCTCTATGCAAATCACTAATTTTTTTTCAATCAATTTAGAATATTGCAATTTATCACAGTATTTAATGAGCTCAGTTTGGTTCTAAATGGTAAAGTGTATGAACTGCCAGATGCTTCAATATGAATCGCTCTAGTTCTAGAAATACACTGCCATTACAAAACCCATCCCTTTAAAGTTAAAAAGAGAGAATTGTACACACCCAGGGAAGACACAGTAGCTTTTAACATCAAAGGCTGCAGTGATTTAATAAATTCATTCAGGAAGCTCTTACCAGAGTCCTTCCAGTGCAGCTGCAATACCTGCACCACTGGAGTAGCCCTAATGGCCATGATACTGCTCTTGAGAGTTTGGATCTATGTATTTGAACCCCAGAAGAGTGGTTTTACTTTGATAAGCTCTCCGAATTCTTAAGCAGAAACCTTACTGTACAGAACAGCATTATATTGTTAATGTTGAATACAGAACTCCACAACTCAGGGAAAGATATGAAGGAGTGAGGCTGGTTTTGTGCTGCAGGGTAAAATTGTTCCGTCTCCTATTTTAGTTATAAAACAAAATTGAGAAAATGCAATTATATTTCTCATACAATAACAGTTCTACAACTGTTAAGACTTTCTACAAAATTTTAACTCACTGCTTCCATGTATAAACAGAGAAAAAGACTGAGTTTTTTTAAATGGTTTTAATAGCTTAGTTGTTAATTTTCTTTTGTATTTTTGAGCGGAGAGATATTTCAACATTTTTTTAATAAGGCTGGCTTTCTCTCTCCCTAAAATGATGGCTTTTGTCCTACCTATTGCTTAGCAGCAGAACAGATATCATAATAAAGATGCCTGGTTTAGGTTAATCTTTTAAAATAAAAATTATATCTCCTCATGAACTGCAGGACCTTTATTACCAGTCATATTCACAAGTGGGAGTGATGTTTGCTTCCATCCCAAATTTCAATGATTTCTACATCGAATTGGACGGCAATAATATGGGAGTGGAATGTTTACGCCTGTTAAATGAAATTATTGCTGATTTTGATGAGGTAAGGTCTAAACTCTTTGTCTTTTCACCATATCAGTTCTACCAAATTACTATCAACAGAGATTATCTGTAGCAACTCAGCCTATCTTGAACTGCCTAATAAAACAGTGCTGTAAATTTCCTATTTAATTGTAGCTGATGTCCACTGGGCTTCTCCAAAGTGCCCAGTTTGTACTTTTAGGCACGTGAGTCTGGCCTCAAATTCCTCTAATACAGGAAAAGTATTAAAATGTGAGTTAATGGTAGTTTTTTCAATGACCTCAAAGTGGGCAAGCCTCAACTTACCAAAAATAATATGGTTTAATCAACTTGCACATATCGTCTGATAACTACGGTTGCTTGTCTAAAATATTATGTAATATTTAACAGTTTTATGTTTTAAACAAAGCTTATGGACAAAGAATATTATAAGGACATAGAAAAGATCAAGACAATTGGAAGTACATATATGGCAGCTGTGGGACTTGTACCTACTTCGGGAACTAAGGTAAGACGATTTTACATGACAGTCATTTGTGGAGGAACCATTCTCCTTCAATTTCCAGAGGAACATCAGAAACAAAACTAACTCTATATGATTATAGATAACTTGTATTACTTCTTTACAACAATATAAATCTGAAATTCAAAGAACAACTGTAGCCTGAAAAGAAAAATTGCTATCCAAGCAGTTGCTGATGTGGCTTCATTTGGGATTTCATTGTCTGCAGCTCTGGATTCTCTGTAAATTGGTGTATAAAGCTCCAAAGTCAAAGTGGTAGCATTTTAAACCTGGTATCTTAGATGACCTTGTGAGATGCAGGGAAGGGGAGACTCTAGGTGTAATGAATTGCTGCAAAACTAACACAAGGATATTAAAATGTGATTTTTTTAATTATTTTTTTTAATATATATTGAAATCTGGGTGCAACTTACAATCAAAACGAACAGCCTCTCCCAACCTCCATCATGGACAGGAACTTAGTGCTAGGTGCATTGCTGCACTTTACCCTGGTCCCTTCAAATGAGCTCTTCTTTGTCTGTACTGCTAGCATTCTTTTTACCCCTTTAATTACTCAGCAATAAAAATAGTCAAAGTCATTTCAGACCCAGTAGTTCTGGGGCACAGTTCTTCTGTATCTTCATTACTACTCCTGAGTGTGTTTCTCACCTTAAGTTTGTGTCTTGGGACAGAGATTTCCTAGATTTGCATGCAGCATCTGGAAAAGCAGAAAACCCTGTGGACAGTGTACTGAATATATTGTATACAGAGTACTATGCACGTTAATAATTATGCTAATAAAATTAATAATATGAAGAGTATAATGAAAATGAAAGGAATCTGTGCACCTAGTCTGCCCAGAATTTCCAGACACTTCTCCTCTGTTCTGATATACATGTACGTATGTTGTAGAGGTATGCTCACGCATATGGTTTAGCATTCCAAAATAACACCGAATTAGAGGGCAAAAGCAAAACCCGCCAGAAGATGGCCTGTGAACTTTCTAGCAACAATTATCCTTGTTAAGTAAATAAAAAACAAGGCCACATTGAAATCAACTGTTAGAATCAGATTGGAGTATATCACATACAACTGATGCTTTCCTTTGTATCATTCCTAGAAATCTACACATTACAGAAAGGTATTTTTAAAACTCTGTTTATTCTGAAACATTTGACTCCTGGGTCCCGAGACAGGCAAAAAAATTGATCCTTTGAATTTTGTTTGGTGTGATCTCAGGCAAACAGGCAATGGCATTCTTGTGTGTCTGCTATAAATGCTCTTTGAACTATAATCCTGAAAACAAGTGTGTTATTGGGTAACTTTGGCAGCATATGTTCCAAAACCTAAACATGTTTATCTCTTGTATTTTATAGTTGCTAACTGAAAGGTCAGCTGAGTTATCCCAGTACTGAAGATACCGCTCTGAGCTTATGATAGTAATGCATTTTAAATCACTGCAGAAGGTCTTGTACCAGGACTCTGCCCTTCTCTGAAATCTTGGGGCAAATTTTGGTCTTTTCTGTACAGGTGGAATTTATTTAACATTGTGTATTCCAGAAAACCTGAAGAACTTTTATGAAACAGCCAATATTTTTCAGTTTAACTTGAGGTTTCAGCTTTTCTGCGATCTCTTCCCACTGCTGGTGCGATGCAAACAAGCAGAAATTATTCACAACCTCTTGGTAGTTTCCCACTAGTTCTTCAGCATGCAGCTACGTATTAGAAGTCCGATGATGCTGGGTAACCCGTCATGTGCAGACGCTCGCTGCCAGCCGTCACAGTCCTTGGGCTGCCCTACGGAGTCACACGTGTCCATGAGGAGCCACGGGAGGCTCAAATGCTTCTGGTCTCCCCTCTACCAGGGGTGCCCCAGCTTCATCAGAAAACCTGGCACAGCCTCTGATTGTGAGCCACCAATTTCATACTAGGATTTGGACATGAGCAGAAAGCAGTGGATGGAGTTAACTGTGCTCTTAACTAAGGTTATTTACACACATGAGAACCCAGTACCCTTGATGAAGTTAAATATTTAAATCCCGTATTTTGCAGGACTGTTGTTTCTGCAGCTTGACTTCAGCAGATGACTGTAGTAAATGCACGTTGCCTCTGTCAGAGTGGTTTTGCTGTGATGCTCTGGGCAGTCTTTCCAGTAACTATTCCTCCAATGTTTAAATAAATAATTGCTTGCCAGTTACGCCATCAGGGCAGCACACAAACCAAGCTCTTTGTAGATCTTTTGCACAGTATAAGTTCATTGTGTGTGTGGAGTCCTTTGAAATTACATCTGTGATTTCACCAGGGTCCTGACTTCATCAGGGTCCTAACTTTGTGGTGTTCTTCAGTGCAGGTCCCAAAGAGCTTGCCAGTAATCCTTTAGAGGCATCTGTCACCTGCAGCGCATCCAGTATTTGTCACCAGTCCTCTCTCCTGCAATCATGAGGGGCATTGCAGGAAATCAAAGCATTCATTGGCCAGCAAAGAAATGGAAGGATAAGAAATATAAAGAAGATTAGAGGCTTAAATAAAACTATACACTCCTCCCTCCCTCCTCTAGATAATCAATAGTCTTCTCCTTCTCTGTTGGAAGTGTAGCCATCAGCTCTTTAAACTTACTTCTTGTTCTTCCTTTGTCTTGGTGAGGCTGGAAAAGACTAGAGTTAGTTGACATTGCAGCAAGCCGAATGCCAGAGACCAGGGCAGCTAAAAAAAAATATGCTTCCTAAAAATGGGACTGGCCTAAGGATGACTTTCATAATTTTTTGTTAGCACTTTGCTCTAATTTTTGTAAATTTCCCAGCCACATGAAGGAACCCTTTGAAACTGAGACGAATAAAGCAAATGGCAACCTGTCTCTCAGGTTTCTCAGCTATTGTCAAGTACTCCATTTATAAAATCTCACTATCGTGACAAAAACCCAGTGAGCTCTCATGTCATGCCAGCTGCCACAGCTCTGTTGTGCAACACTCTACTGAAGCTAGACTACCACTGACCCTGCATTTCTTTCACCATATCTTACCTTTAGCCCACTTTCACTTTGCAAATCTGTTCAAGAATTCATATTTATTATTCAAATAAGAGCACAACATAAGAGCAACCATACTGAGAGAGGTCAAAGGTCTATTCTAGTAACCTGTCTTTAACTAGCCATGGTAGATCCTGGGGGAAGAGCATGAATTACAGGACAAACATGCAAACCTCTTTTCCACTTTCTAAGGATATGCTGCTTAAGAAATTCTAGAGCTACAGATAATATCTTTTTACTACTTCGTAGCAAATATTTCTTCCATGAGTTTGAGTAATTATGTCTGAATCTAGCTAACTTTTGGAATCCACAATATCTTCTGAAAATGAGTCCCACGGTTTAATTAGACTGAAGTTGTAAAAACTGTTTTCTTATGTTTTGGGGGTTTTTTACAAGTTGATACTTCAGCATTTCATTTGATCCCTTCTGGTTCTTTTGCTTTAGTTCATTTAGATACGTTTTATAACAACTCACTTCAGCTTGCCTGGAAAGGAAAGAAAACAGGAGAGTTCTGCATCTCACAGGATTAAACCTAACAGGAATTTTGTCAATGGGAACAGCATGCACCCCATGGAGCTGGGAGCTATCGAAAGCCCCAAAGGGAGAAGAGGGCAGAAACTATAGTTATTAATAATCATCAGGCAAAGCAGTTTTGTAAGAAAGCAGGTTATATTCCCTGCCACGCTCAAAACAAACATCTGCAGCTCTCTAGCAACAGAACCACTTTACCATGGGAACTTTGCTTTCCATTCTTCCCAGAAATCAAAAAGTGAGAGAGAAGGGAAAAAAAAAATATATTCAGTACTTCAGAAAAGAATGCAAGTGCTGTAGCCACCATCAAAAGTTTCTTTTCACAAACAGCAAAATGGGTTAGATTCTTTTCCTAAGCCATCCAGTCTGAGCTTTTAATTGTTTGTCACTTTGGTATTTCACCTGCCTCTCAGTACCATACAAATCTAATGTGCGATACTATTTTGTTTCTAGGCTAAAAAATCAATTTATTCCCATCTGAGTACACTGGCAGATTTTGCAATAGAGATGTTTGACGTTCTTGATGAAATCAACTATCAGTCTTACAACGACTTTGTCCTACGAGTTGGTAAGTCACGTTTCTACAATTGTTACACAAGCAGAACATTGTTGTTTGCTGGTTTTCCCTGTGCTGTCTGCCAAGGATTACCTGTCCTGCACTTAGGATTAAAACTGAAAAGCCTCTAGCTGGAGAGTCACATCCATGTAGAAGGTCAGCAGCCTGGTTGATGAGCATGAGTATTAAGGAATTATAATTGTGTCCCGTTCCAGTGTGTTTACTTAATCTATGCACCCCTAAAAGGAAACTGTGCCAATAATTTTATACGATATTATTAGTGCACCCAGGCTTGTGGCTAACACTGTTTTGCCTTGCTAAACTGCTGAAAACTGAGTCTGACTGTACCTAACTATAAAGTTAAGTTGCATCTGCAAAAGCTTTGTTTGCATTAGAAGTGTGATGGGAGCTTTTTGTCCACGGACACCAAATCACCTCAACCAGTCCTGTTTTCTCCAACAAATCAAATCTTTTGGTCTTCACAACACAAACCTTCCCATGCAATCCTTTACATGTTATCACATGTCTTACCTCTCAGAGGCCTTTCTCCCAGAGCCTTCTTAGAGAGCAAGTTCCCCTCTTCCCTTCCTTCCCTGCATACCGCTCCTCTCCAATGGTACTTACACTGCTGTTCTCATTTCATTGCATATACTACCACAGATGGTCTTCGCCACCTTCTTTATATATTTTCATGGCTGAATTGTGAGAATGGGCTGGACAAGGGGAAAAGTGAGGTTGCTAGCAGCAGAGTATTGAGAAAGACCAAAGACATCAAGGGTAGCAAGAGAGGAGTTATACATCTTTGCCCTCCTGTACATCCTAATAATTATAAACCCCAAATTCTCATTGAACTCTGTTACAACTGGTCCTTCCAGGTTCACAAAGGGGCAGAAGACAAATATCTAACCCCCATTCTTCTGCTTAACTTGCCTGGGAAAGCCCTTGCACAGAACCTCATGCAGGGTTTAACATCTGCAGCTCTTCAGGGTACTCAGAAGAAGGAACAACCTCTTTTACCTTCCAAACAAGGTGTCGAAATCAGCCAAAAATGTAGAATCGAGCCCTGTGGTTTCCCAAAAAAGATGCTTGAGCCATTTTCACATACTCTTGTCTTCTTGCAGTGTCTGCCTAATCTGAGTTGTCTAGTACTGACAACAAATGCGACACACTTCCTTTACCCCATTCCTCGTGTCTTCCAGGCCACTATTTCTGTTCCACTTGGAAAACTTCCATTAAAAGGCTTTATATGAGCAACCACAGTGGAAGTTGTAGCAAACAATTAAAGATCTTTAACAGTTTGTACTGAATTGTTCTACAGCTAAACTCTGCACTACCACTTCTTTTCTTCTTTTCTTAAACAAAAAAAAAGAAAATCCACAGATAAGACAGATTTTTATGTTGTCTATCATATTGCATTTCCAATAAGGTATCTCTGTGTATGTCTTTATTTTGTTTCTAAACCTCTTACAGATACAGAAGTCCAATTGGCATTAATTTAACATATATTATGTCCTATGACCAGAAGAATTCTAAGGCACTTATGTTAAATCTATTTTGCAGGATTCATGTTTCTCTTGGATAATATGCTGTAGTGTTTGAAACTAAACTCATTGTTTTGATTTTAGGTATTAACGTCGGGCCAGTAGTGGCTGGAGTCATTGGAGCCAGAAGACCACAGTATGATATCTGGGGGAACACTGTAAATGTTGCCAGCCGAATGGATAGTACTGGAGTGCAGGGGAAAATTCAGGTGAGTGCATTCTGAGACAATTTTGCAAACTTTACATACCTCCTGTTTTATATGTGGTTACATTTTCAAGACCACTTAGAAAACGCAGCCTCACTTGATCTTGTAGTTCTTATGAAAAGGGCAACATTCTCCAGATGATTCAAGCATCAGAGGTATAGTTGTTTTCCTTCACTACTTCACTACTTGGAGGGAATGAAATCCTCAAATAAATCATTTCCCATCAGAAGAAACAGAGTTCTTTGCTGCATTGCACACAGTTGGAGGCAAGCCTGGGAATGCCGACACTGCATGGGCCAGTCCTTGTGCTGTAGGAATTTTGCCTGAATAAGGACTACAAGGAAAGGATCTACATCCATTTGCATCCTGCTGCGTTTTATGTAGCTTTAAAAATTCCTTGGATACTTTGGATCGGAGAGGCTATTCAGACAGAGAACATTGTCGTTCTGCTAGAGTTTGTCTAGAAGCTCTGCTGCACCTCTCAAAACCTCAATGAACTCTTGCAGTCCTTTGTCCAAAATACCTGTCTAGTCTCCAGGGATCAAAAGTTCTTCTGGAGTAAATTAACATCACTGGAACTGATCCAGCTTACAACAGTGGACAATTTGGTTACACATTTCTGTTGGACGGAGCTTAATCTGGCTGTGTAATTATTCAGCTCAAGAGCAGAAGTTCTGCTTCTCAGATTCCAGTTTGGTCAGTGATCTTTAATTCCTTAAGAAAAACCTAAGTGAGCCTGAGAGCAGCAGTAGGTGCTGATTCATTCTGTTTATGTGTATTTCATGACAGAGAAGTAAAATGGGGAGGGGAGGGCACTTCAAGGATTAACCTTATATGAACAGCAAAAACTAATAGTTCTTTTTTTCTGTCTTCAGGTGACAGAAGAAGTTCAGCGGATATTAAAAAGGTGCAGTTATGAATTCGTGTGCAGGGGTAAAGTCAGTGTAAAGGGAAAAGGTGAAATGTTGACCTATTTCCTGGAAGGAAAGGCTGATGGAAATAATTCACAAACACGGTCTTTAAACTTAGAGCGGAAAATGTACCCTTACGGGAGAGCAAACATTCAAACAAAACTGGGCACCAGCTGTCCATCGGTGTCCTCAGTTGCTAGCTTTACTGTAAAAGCTGGGCTTGGAGCAGGTCAAGCATCTGCCACTCACACAAATCAAACACTGCATTATCTTCCTTCTGTGCCAGCTGTGAAGGAGGCGTAGAGCAAAGGAGATTTGGTTGTGCCATTTGCGGTGAACTTGGAGAGCAATGGTTGCCTGAATTTTTACCAAGAGATCAGAGGTCATAGGCCATGGCATTAACCAAGGACCACTACAACCCAACCAAAGAGAACTTGGGGACTGTGTAACGAACTCTTGGGATGGAACATATAAGGGCTAGCAATTCTGTTAGGAAAAGTCAAAACCTGATTTTCTGGAAATGAGGAATATTTTCTTGGCATTTTTAAAGGGTAAATGAAAAAAGTTAGATAAACGTGCAAGCAATTATGTATGTGTGTGTGTGTATATATATGTTTTAATCTATATATGCACATATACAAAGTCCTGTGTAGACTTAATAGAGATTTATAGAGATAAACATAAAAATATGTATTTATTTACACATCCACCTGCAAAGAGATTTCTCTTTCTGTCATAGCCAGCATTGTTGGGACTGGGATTAGCAAAACTGCATTTAGCTGTGGAGTGGGGGGCAGCTGGAGACTCTCCAGGGCTACAGCAAGAGTTAGAGAAACTTTGCTCCCAGTGCATGGGTTAAAGCAATGACAACAGTGTTCATTCTGCTGTCAATGGCAGATAGGTGAAGGCTGGACTCAGCTAATTGCTAAACCCTATGTATTTTTTAAAATTGTCTTTGCATGCTCCAAAAACTTCAAAAAAATTCCAATTCAAACCATAACACTAGCATATGAAGTAGATAAACCACAGAGCTTAAAGGTTTGGCAGAAGAACAATATATATTCTTTCCATAAAAAAAAACAAAAACAACCAGGGGTGGTAGAGTTTAGAAGTTGCTGCCTCTTCACAGGTCATTTGACTGTGGAAGACAGAGGAGCCACCCTGCAAGCACAGCAATATGCTTATGCAATATAGAAACATTCCTTTATGTACAGTGCTGATTTTATTGAAGAGCAGAAAGATGGTATTATTTCAGGCTTTTACAAACAGCACAGGTCCTGTGGCTCAGTTCCAGGATTTAGCTTTACCTTTCTAAACAGCTCAAAGAATAGTCCTGTACTGGTGACAAACATGCTGTTGCTAGCTTTGTGACATTTGTATGTTTGCCAACACAGTCTTACATCTTAACTGATTTTTTAAATGTATGCCACAGTTTTATTATATCTTGATTCTACCCAGGCTCACTTTTCAAATCTGTACAATTATAGAAAGCTATAATTCTGAGAAATAAGCACAGTCAAACTTTGCCCAAATGAGGAGCACACTGGTAAACGTGCCAGGAGAGTGAGGCCTGCTCTTAATCTGCATAAAAGGGAACATATTTTGATTGCTTTTTCCTTTAATGCAGCCCACATCCTATTGTTCATGGTTTCATCTTGAAACGCTGATCTGGGCGTGAAATGTGGGATGCAGCTCCGTACTGGAGGTGTGGGCAGTTGGAGGTCATCCTGCGGAGTGACATGTGCTCCATGGGCAGGTACCCTACTGTCCAGGTGGGGATGCACAAGCTAACCAGCCTCACTGCTTTCCAAAAGAGAAGCAAAACTTTATGTTGTCTAAAAACGTGCAAAACTTCCTTTTAACTAACAAAAAAAATGAAAAAAAACCTGACCAAACAAACCAAAGAAACCAAACCCGGAAAACCCACCCAAGACTGCAGACGTTGTCCAGATTGTGCAGTAGAAAACTTGCATGTACTAGATGTCACATTTCCCCTTGGTAGGCCTATTTTATTACTGATTTTAGTGGAAAGAATATTCTGAGTGATTCTCTTACAATGTGCATTTGCTTTGGAGCAGTCACTGTTTGTGTTAAATGTGTATGGACAAATACTGTGTCAACAGTTGCAGATGGTTAAAGAAATGCTGCAGGAGTTTCCATTCTCCATGTAGGCGTATCAGGCTGCTGTGGGACTCCAGTGGTTTTCAGCAGGATTTTTAATTAATTTTTATGTACCCTGTCAGCCAGGTGCTTCATTACAAAGCTAGCAAAATCAGTGTTGTGATTAAAGTGACTATAAAAAACTGAGAATTGCTTCCTACTGTACTAGGTGTATGCACCCTGGCTGATGTGTAGAAAGTCACTGCAGTTCTTTACCTCCCTAACAGCTATCCAGTTCACGGGTATTCTTCTAGAATAATTTCATTCTGGTTTTGAGGCATCCAAAGCCATTTAAATAAATACAAGTAGAGCATACAGATTTTAAAAGAACAACAGTTTACATAATTAAACTGAATAAGTGGTATCCATGTAAAGTACACTGCATATTTATGTTTCCTAATAGGTTTGTAAGAACTAAATCATCACATAGGTAAGTTAAATATTTAACCAAAATGGAAAGCATTATGTGCAATACCATTAATCACTTAGTTCCACTCACAAAGAGCCCAAGTTACACAATTTTTGAATCAGTGAATTTGGTATAATTTCACTGATAATAACAAAACATTATTTTTACATGTACTGTTATTAAAAGCATCTTCAGATCCTCATAGTAGATCTGGTAGTATGTGAACACATAGACCAAATATGCCATTGGCCTACCCCAAAAGCTTACAGTGAAATTATTTCTTTGTTACTTTTTTAATAGGTACAAGATATAGGCATATTGCCATTGTTTCTTTTATCACTAAATGGACAGTGAGCAGAAACAAATTGTCCCCTGTGCTAATATTTTCTGGACTGTTCTCATTCCCAGACTCATTCCCAGCCTAGTCCTGAAGTAAAGTCAATGGAAGATCATGTAGCAAGGTAAATTTGGATTATTCATTTTAATATTTTAAAAGACTAGCAGGTGCTAGTAGAATTACTTGTCTCCAACAGTCAAATGTGGTACGTGACTTTGTAATAATGTTTTCCATGTTGAATGGAAAGGACGAGACAGGCGCAGTCCATCATCAGCTCCTCATTCGGCCCTTTTGCAGGAGGTCTGTGCCTCCGGAGCAGGTTGAGTGGACCAGGATGGCTTCTTGGTGCTGCAGCCAGTCCAGTGTGCATGCACTAGCTTACAGCATCAGTGATGGTGTATTTGGAGTCAGTTTCCAGACTTTGTTTGAGTCTTACCATTAACATTTTTCATATTTTTGTTGTGGTTGTTGTTGCTGGTTTTACTATGGGGAAAACTTTATTTCACTATGTAGTCCTGGACTAAGCAGTAGAGAATCATGAAGAACATTCAGCGAAGGCACAAATTAGTAAAAAGCCATGTGAAAATGATAGGCAGTCTTCAGCAGCCATTCCAACAGGGAAAACTAAATGCCCGTTGAAATCATGATATAATGAAGCTGTGCTCTTGCCTTTATGCTTTCCCTCCCTATTTATATAATTTCCCCCCATTTTCCTTTTCTGCGTACATTTGTTTTATTTCAGTTCTTGTGTGATAGCTTTAAATGACAGATTTAATCTCTCTGCTCTTCTGCATTCTTTGATATGTTCAGTAAGTTTTATACATAGAAGGAGGTAGTAGTAATACTTCCGATAACCCCACAAATACACATTTTCTGCCAAATTAGAGAAGCTTGTCATCAAATTTTTATTGGCAATTGGCTGAAGATAATATGTGGCCCATTCCAATATCCCTGAAAATCATCAGAAGGATTTCCTTGGATTTCTGTGGGATTTGGGTTGTGTCCACCTTAATGCATGCAGTTGTATTTCCTATCTTGCATTTATTAATTTTCTGGTCAAACCCCGTAACTTTTGCCTGGGTGACCTTGCTGTAGCCCCAACAAGGAGTAGTTCTGCCCCACAGCACGCAAAAGTCCCTCACATTTAACTGAGGATAGTAACTTGTTGCGCTGTGAGCAGAATAGCCTCCTGCACTTCTGTTCACTATTTTGTGCAGCTGTTAGCTTGAAATAATTAACCGATATGAGCCCTACAACAAAGGGATGCCATTTTGGCATGTCGATGTCTGTCAATAGCAAGCACAATATTTCACATCAGTTTGCACGTTCTCTCTTTCAGATAATAGTAATAATCTATGTCTTTTGTTCTTTATATAAGGAGATAAGTATCAGAGATCTTCAGACTTCACTGTCTTGGGAGCTAATTTCAAAGTGTTCCTATGCTACCTTTATCTTTAAATGATTTTTTAATTATTATTCTCCGCTGAGATTACAAACTGGCATTCAGTTTAATTACTGGCTAGATATTTCCAAACATTTTCCATTTGCATTGACTAGAAAGCTGTTTTATCCAGCCTGTAAAATACGTTGGCTTTAGTAGCTGCTTCGCGCTGTGGCAAGTCACACTCCCTCGTCTTCACTAAAACACACGCAAATTCTCCCTTGCTTTCTCTAGGTGAGACTGAGAGTCAAAAGCTTTGGCTCATTAGGGCTGAATCTGCATCCCTTATGTACCCGCAAGGCCTGCAGAAATCATCAGGAGTTTAGCATGTTTATGAAGGTCAGGAGTTGAGCTTCTGTAGGCCAAGTTCTGCTTTGGGTTACAGCGATGTCTCGTGTCGGTACTGAACTGAGTATTTTACAACACTGTAACCGAGAGTAGGTCACGCACCTAAATCTCTTACACGCTTTTGCCTGTAATTTCTCTGTAAGGCAAAAGAAAGTACTTGGGAGTCACTGTTCAAAGGGAAACAGTATATGACCTGTGCCATTTCAGTGCTTTGAGGAGTCTGAACACCTTAGTAAGTAGCGTGAATCATTTTCATGTGTTGAATTCCTGCTTGTAGCAGAAGCAAAGCGTTTTCTTTACATCATCAAGTCCAGATTCTGTATATGTTCTGCCCAGGCAGGAGGACTATTTAGCCATAATGTTCTTTCAAGTTAGAGTTTTGTATTACAGTGAAAACCAACATTTTTTAATTTGTGATAAACGTGTATTATAATGCCTTATTTATTTTTAATCTTGTACAGTGTTACAAAACAACAGAAAACATTGGCCTTTCATGTATTATTCACTTTAAAAGATGTATTGTATTATGAAATTTTGTAAATAGTTTTAGCTCGAACAGGTAATTGCATGTACACTTGTATAAAAAGAGGCAAAAAGGCACACTTTTAACAAATGTTAACGATTTTTGTAAGAGACATTTTACATGTGCATGGAGATTATAAATCCTTTGGAAATGGATGTCCTTTTGCTTTTCCTTGCAATCTACTGCATGCCACTCATGCCTGACTTCAGTAAAACAAAACAAAACAGTAAGTTTTCCTAAATGTTTTTGACATATCACTTCTGGCACAGAGTTAAATCCACTAGTTGCATGTGCGTTCAGCAAAGCAAAATCAAAATGCAAACAGCAAATAAAGAAGAAAAATAAT